CACACTTGCCATTGGTTAAATTTACTTAAAATAATAGTTTCCATTATAGTATTGGAATGACGCCATATAAAGCGTTATAAGGTAGGAGGTGTAGGACTTTATTCTGTTGGTAAGAGTCAGGCGATAATGTTGTGCTCAAACCTGAGGTTGTACAAGAGGCAACTGCAATGATAAATATAATACAAGAGAAGATGAAGGCTTCTCAGAGTCATCAAAAGAGTTGTCATGATAGGAGGATAAAGGACCTTGAGTTCAAGAAAGATTATCATGTATTTTTTAGAGTTACTCTGGTAACCGGTGTTGGTAGATCTTTGAAGTCGAGGAAACTTATGTCGTATTTTGTTCGTCTGTATCAGATATCAGAAAAGATAGGTGAGGTTGCTTATCGTATTACTTTTTTGCTATCACTTGCGAATCTGCAAGACGTGTTTCATGTGTCTTAGTTGAGAAAGTATATTATGGATTCTTCGCATGTGATTCAAATGGATGGTGTACAGGTGAGAGATAACCTGAATTGCCTTAGTGAGGGTATTATGGGTCAGACCATCTGGTGAAAGTTGGACTTGAAAACGCGAAGATCATAGGAGAGTCATATTTGGTGTTGTTTCCGTCTGGTAATTTTCGAGGGAAAAACTTCTTTTAAGTGGGGAAGAGTTGTAATATCTTGAATTCTAGATTAATTATTTATTTAATTAATTTAGCTTAAATTTAGGAGTCTCTATGAAGTGTTTGGTATATATGATGTTTTGGTGCTTTGTGTTAGTCCCTGTGACGGTATATGATGTGTATTCGTGATGCATTTGTGGTGTAATAGCGATGACTTGATGAATAAGATGTTTAAGATGAGGAATTATGTGTCGTAGGATGGATAATAAGAGGATTTATAATTTTTATAATTAGTTTAGAATTATTTAGATTTAATAGTGATTATTTAGAATTATTTAGATTTAAATAAATAGAATAACATGTGATGTAGAGAAAATAAGGGCATTGTGGTCATTAATGAAGGATAAGTGGGGGCATGATGGGAAGTTCATTATTAGGGGTATAAGGGGGAAAGTTTGGTATAAGGAGAAGGTTTGGAATTTTACACACTCATTCTGTATGATAGAATTTGAAAGAATGATATGGAGAAAAGAGAGTTAGGGCACAAAGAGGCAAGAAGAGCACAAGAATACCGATAGAGCATGGAGAGGAATTGATCTCTAGCATTAATCTTAAGGTAATGGTAGTTTTATCATTATATTATATTCGATTTAAGTTTTATATAATTGGTAGATTGCCTTAGGTTTTGGTAGATGGTGATTTGGTATTGTCTGATGAGAAATTGATGAATTGGTGATGGATAATGACTTATAATTGATGTATGTTTAGTATAGAATTATAGGTCGTTATTAGATGATGAAACCTTTTTATTAGATGGTTTTTTAGGACCTGTAATGTGATGAAATCGCAGAAGATTTTGACTGGTGTAGTACAAAAATTGCAATAGGAAAATCTTGTTAATGCATCATCGTCGGGCGATGAAAGTATTGTCGTCGAGCGACACATCTATTTTTGGTCGTCACCAGGCAAGGACGAGGCGATGGAAAAGGTGGAAAAAGGATAACGCTTCTGGAGTGCATTATTTCTAGCGTCACCAGGAGAAGCGGACGCGAAGGGTGCATCGCTAGGCGACGGGGGTGTGTCGCCAGGCGACATATGGCTGATTTGGTTGGTTGTGTCGGACAATCATAAAATGGTCATAATAGATCTAGAGTTCGGATTAATATGTCATTTGGGGCATTGGATAACTAACGTGATATACTTTAATTATGTGGAGAAAAAAATGAGACATAAGGAGTATATCTCTAAGACCAAACTTAAAACAGAATTAGGTATGCCGCGTTGAATCACAATGATGTTTTATTTATGATGATGCTTTTCTTATGATAATAATATTATGATGTTGTGTTGATTACTATGATGATGTTATGGTGTTGTGTTGATTACTATGATGATGTTATGATGTTGTGTTTATTACTATGATGTTATGATGATGTTGCGATGAATCATGAATGGTGATGCATGTTGACTAGTCGTGGTCATATTAAATATGTTGTTGTGCATCATTGCATTCATGACATATTCTAGGACTACGGTCCAGTGAAGTTAGGACTTCGGTCCAGTGAAGACGATAGGACATTTTTCTAGTGAAGGCAATAATCCTATAGTGTGGATGGGGTACAACAGTGAAACTAGAAACCCATCGTTAGTTACTTCTCATACATCTAACGATCCCAGAAGCGCCTTCATTTGGATACTCCAGTACTCATAATTCGACTTTGATAGTCGTGACAGTGGCATTTAACTCATCAAATTTGCCATGCGCTCTGATACCAATTTTAAGAGAAATGAGAGAGGACTTTAAACTTGCTTTCTTTATAAAATTGTCCAACTTTCTGTTGATATGAGTACAAAGGGATTTATATAGAGATCACAAGATAGAATATTAAATGTTACAGCATTAACTATTTCTAAGTCCCAAGGAAATAAACTTTTCATTGCCCAAAGAGAATCTGTTTTTTGCACTATCCAATGCATATTTGAATTTAACCAAGAAGCCTTATGTCATCCTCCAGAATTTAGAGGAGACATGTTCATAAAATCCATCATATGGTGTCAAATGCATATAAATCTAATTAAACAACATCTAACAGGTTATTACTCCTAAAGCAAATCTTATTTCTAAGAGGTTTAACCAAATCTAATTCCTTACAAAAATAAACGTATAGACATATGCACCGATTGTGACAGGTAGACCCTAAGTTGTAGTTCCCTCGGGTAAACATCGTAGCTGATGAACACTTATACCAATAAGCTCCCGAGCAAGAGCTTCCCACTGTAAAAACAGAAGAAAAAAATCAATTTTCCAGCGAGATAAAAAGAATAGAAACAATTTAGACTTATGTGAGAATTTCAACATGTTAAACTCAGCAGTGCATAGCCAAATAATGGCAAGAATACCTTTAAAATCCATATATCCTATAGACTTGATAGATGTAATGTTCTATAATAACTTACTTATAATGAGTGGGAGAAATTGCTTGAAAATATACATACATTTGCAGCATAACCTCGCTGCATCCTTGTAGCAGGTAGGTTCAAGATCTTACTTAAAAAAAGGTTCAATTCTGATGGCTGAAATTAGTTTCGGTTTTCCTATAGTTCAAATGATTAAGAATATTTATAAGAATGAAAATCAAAAATGCAAGTTATAGTTTTTCCTTTTGAGCACTAACATGTTGATGATGTAATGCCTGAAAGATTGCCACAAGTTAGACTAACAACAACTAGTGAATTGTCGAATCTGGTGTACAGGAAAAAATATTATAGTTGTAGTTATGATAATATACATGTCACCTGTTTGACATCCAAAATGATCTCAAGCTTTAATATACGGAGAAGCTGATTGCTATATTTGCCACAAGTCTGCAATCCCACCAGCACCCAATTAAATACACAATATATATATATATATATATATATATATATATATATATATATATATATATATATATATATATATATATATATATATATATATATATATATATATATATATATATATATATATATATATATATATATATACTTTGGGTATGGTCAAATTGATAATAACAACATCAAATTGATAATAACAACATACTAAAGTAACGGAAAATCTAATAATGTCATTGCCAAAAATTTGTTAAAAATACTTACATGAAGAGGAATAAACCCTAAAAAATTATTCCTCAGTAAAAAATAGACTTGGTGCAGCTGCACTTTCTTCATTGTTATTTCCACCCAATAAGAATCATAACAATTTGTTCAGCATAAGTTAAAAAACCTAACACATACAAATACAATAGAATAAGTTTTTAACAAAATCTAAATTAAAAATGTCAAACATAAACCTTTTCGAATCTGACCACCACACTGTTTCCACCACTACCACACTCATCACCGATAACCCGTTGCCGTCACCACATATCTGAATGTTAAAAAAGAATAACCTAAAAACACATAGCAAGTGGTTAAAACCTTATTCATATTTTTGTTAGATAAATGAAAAGAACAACATACCTGCCATTAGCAGCAATGACATGAAGAGGTAAAAGAGTAACGGTCTTACTGTAACAAAGTTGTTACAGCTTAAAGATTAAGGAAGAGGAAGATAAAAGGGTGAAGATAGAAAACAATTGAAGAGTGGAAGAAACAAAAGAAGAATAGAAAGAGATAGTAAAATGGATCAGAGAAGAGAGAAAGTGAATAGGGAGAGAGAAAGAGTGAGAAAAAAATAAAGGGTATCACCTGATAGTCAAAGGGAAAGAGTTTAAGAATATAATATGTCAATTCACTGTACAAAGACCAAATAACCAACCAATTGAATAGGTGTAAAAATAGTACAGATGATTAGAATGGTAATTTCCACAACCTAAAATTTTCTTATATGATAGATGTATAATTTTCTGTTAAATATATAAAATATTCTCCTATTATATAAATATATTTATCATATTTTCATAATTGTATTTAAGTTTTGGCCATTCATAGCAATCTCTAATATGCATTAATTTATGCATAAAAGCCAACGAATAGTGAGTGATGGAGACAAACAATGTGATTAAAGAATTTCCAGGTTCATTCATTCATGAAATCAAAACAAAAAACTTCACATGTTCAAGTTTAGTAAACAGATCATGATCGCCGCATCCAAGTGAACTGGAGGCCAAAGTGCATGCGCCAAAACACGTAGGACCCCAATGTGTCACACATGCAGCTCAAGATATTCATCAGCTGAAGACACGAACCCATCCACACCTTTCAAACAGTTACAACTCAATTTTGTTTATTTGAACACTCGTCATGCTACATGGCACAATGTAGCCACGTTAATCACCCAGCTTTATGTTGTATCACTATAAATATCCCTCATCTTACTGTTTTATTTCATCATCTAAAGTGAAATACAAATCATGGCTACCACAAACAAATCACGATTTCCACTTGTGTTGTTGCTTGGAATTATATTCCTGGCCTCCGTCTGTGTCACTTGTGCCAACTACGATGAAGGTTCAGAGCCTAGGGTACCGGGAAAAAGAGAGGAGGAAGAAGGTTCATCAAAGTCACAACAAAGAAGAAACCCCTTTCTCTTCAAGTCTAACAAGTTTGTCACACTCTTCCAAAACAAAAACGGCTACATTCGTCGCCTTCAAAGATTCGACACACGTTCAGACTTATTTGAAAATCTTCAAAACTACCGCCTTGTGGAGTATAGAGCCAAACCCCACACCATATTCCTCCCTCAGCACATAGATGCTGACTTAATCCTTGTAGTCTTCAGCGGTATTTTTTTTTTTCTTTATAACTGGAAAATTCCATTTAGCAACAATAGTATTTCTTATATCACGTAATTAAATTACAGGGAAAGCGATATTGACAGTGTTGAGTCCCAATGATAGAAATTCGTATGACCTTGAGCGTGGTGATACCATCAAAATTCCCGCAGGAACAACATCTTATCTAGTTAACCAAGATGATGAACAAGATCTTCGAGTGGTGGATCTTGCAATACCCGTGAATAGAGCTGGTAAATTTGAGGTAATATATAAAATATCCTCACAAACTTAGCTTTATTCTCTGGATCCAAAAATTAATCTTTATCGTTTTTCCACCAGGCTTTTGACCTATCTCGAAATAAAAACCAATATTTACGAGCATTCAGCAAGAATATTTTAGAGGCCTCCTTAAATGTGAGTATGCAAGCAACATATGTTAAGCTTAATGTGTGAAATTTTAATCAGTTGTTTAATTTATATAATCATGCTAAGCCCATCTAATTTTAACCTTGCTTGCAAATATAGACAAAATATGAGACCATAGAGAAGGTTCTCTTAGAAGAAAGGAGACAACAAGGGAAAGAAACAAACGCAATAGTCAAATTGTCAAGGGAGCAAATTGCGGAACTGAGTCGAGCTCAAAGAGAAGCTTACCCTCTAAATTTGAACCAATCAATTTGAGAAGTCAAAACCCAAAATATTCTAACAAGTTTGGCAGGTTGTTTGAGATTACCCCGGAGAAAAAATACCCACAACTTCAAGATTTAGATATATTTGTTAGTTTCTCGGAGATTTCCGAGGTACGGAAACAATACTAAATATAAAAAAGTGTTATGTTCAATCACATAATTTTAACTAAAAGTAAATAAATATGTTAATACATTTTTACTTCAATTTATAGGGAGCTCTATTGTTGCCACACTATAATTCAAGGGCCATAGTTGTACTAGTCCTTAATGAAGGACAAGGAAATCTCGAACTTGTGGGTTTCAAAAATGAACAACAAGAACAAAGTCTAAAAGAGGATGAACAAGAAGAAAGAAACAAGCAAGTGCAGAGGTACGAAGCTAGACTGTCTCCAGGTGACGTTGTTGTCATTCCAGCAGGTCACCCATTTGCCGTTAGTGCTTTGTCAAATTTGACTTTGTTTGGATTTGGTATCAATGCTGAGAACAATCAGAGAAACTTTCTTGCAGGTATTAAGTGCATATTAGCATAATTAGTTAGTAAAAGAGAATTATTTGAATTTGATATTTTGAATTTGGTGATTGAAAATTTGAAGGTTCGGACGACAATGTGATAAGCCAAATAGAAAATCCAGTAAAAGAGCTTACATTTCCTGGATCTGCTCAAGAGGTAAATAGACTATTAAAGAACCAAAAACGATCTCACTTTGCAAACGCTGAACCTGAGCAAAAGGAGGAAGAAAGCCAAAGAAAAAGGAGTCCTTTGTCTTCAATTCTTACACTTTTTACTGAGTAATCAATATGAAAAGTAATGCACATGTATGATGTAAGATTTAGCGAGCCCATAGTGAGCTAACTATAAATAAAGGGTCATATAATCTTGAGCCTCACTTCTCACTTTTTTTTTCTTTTTTTCTTTTTCTTGTGTGTACAAGTTAATAAATAGAAGAAATTTAGGAGAGAATATATTTTAGACAATAATGGTTATAAAATTTATGAAACAAATTATTAGAAGGTTATAAATGAGAGCTATTACTGATTTATTTATATATAAAGTAAATTGTTATGTAGACTTTAATAAAAAGTAAATTTAATAACTAAGTTAAAAGATACAAATTAAGAAATATTAAATTTAACAGCTACGTTAATAAATTCAGCTTCAAAACTCAGAAGTTAAGTATATTTCTAGACGTAATTTTAGAAGCTTTTGTTTCTGATTAATAATAATTTTTAGTTATATCAAAGTATTGCTTCTAGCTAAGTTGTTTTAGAAGCTTACAGCTTCTGGCTAATAATCTTAGAAGTTCAACTACTTTTGAGCAACAAATAATCTTAGAAGTTCAACTACTTTTGAGCAACAATATCTTCTGAATATGAATTACTTTTAACACTATCTTTTAATTTATATTTAGCTAACCAAAACTCTTTAACACCAATTTCATCCCTCAGATATTCAGTTTTGACACCCTTCGTCAGAACATCAGTAAGTTATTTTTAGTTGCTACAGTGTGCAACTTTTAATATTTCATTTAAAATATAGATTTCTCCTTGAGAACTCATCTAACGCTGATGTTTTTCTTCTCCTTGGAAGTTCAGTTAACTCTAAAGTCCTGTTTCTTTGTGGTCTCTGGACTTGTTCAAAATCTCTTTTTGATTCTATAACAGAAGTTCGACTACCACCAGAAGCTCCATCTTTGTTAACTTCTGGACCTCGTCCAGAACTACTACCTTCAAAAAAATCATCTTCAGAATCATGATCACCGTCAAAGACTGGACTACCTTAAGAAGCTCCTCTTTCAGAAGATTCACCTTTAATAACATGATTACCACTAGAAACATGATCATCTCCAGAAGCTTGTCCTCCCGAACCTACGTCTTTAGAGTTTTTCCTTTTAGAAACATGATCACCATCAAATTCTGGAACATCATCAAAATCTGGATCAGAATCAAATTCACCATCTGACTTATATTCAGAGTTTCCAGAGTCATCATCTTCTGACTTTAGGTCTTCTTCAGAACTTTCAAGTTCTGACTCATCTTCAGAAGCAGAATCTTTTTCAGATTCTGACTCATCTTTAGAATCTTCAATGTTATCTTTTGATTCTGACTCATATTCAAACACTTCTTCAGAGTCAGAATATTCAGAGTTATCTTCTTCCCCTTCAGAATCAGAAAATGACAATCTCACAGGTTCCTCATCAGATTTATAAGCTATTAATAGCATAGGTTCTTCATCTGAATCTCCTTAGGTTACTTTTGCTTCTTCTTTGTATGACCAACAATCTTTAGCAAAGTGTCTAAACTGCTTACAACAGTAATACTAAACAATTATCTTGTCATAATTCTCCGTTCCCTTCTGATGTTTTTTTCATCAGAATAGAAGACTTCTGACTTCTGAGATCTACCATGTTTTTTCTGCTTCTAGTCCTTCTTGACAAAAGAAGCTTTCAGAGCCTATTCAACTTTCCTCTCAGAAATTCTTTCAGTTAGACGCAACTCTTGCCTCTCTAGACTACTTTGTAGCTCTACTATTCTCATGGTGCCCAAATTAAAATGTTCAATTGCTACAATAATGTAATCAAATTGAGGAGTAAGAGACTTCAATATCTTCTCAATGATTACTTGTTAAGAAAGGGTTTCTCCACAAGCTTTCATCTAATTAGTGATTAGAATTACTCTAGAGATGTACTCAAAAACCTTCTCATTGTTCTTCATATTGAGATTCTCATATTTCTTTCGTAAGGACTGAAGCTTCAACTTCTTCACTGATGTGTCACCACCGTAACATATGATCAATATATCCCACGCGTTCTTTGACGTCGTCGAATCTGCAATCTTTTCAAATATATTCACATCCACACATTGATGGATGTAGAATAACACTTTCTGATCTTTCTTCCTCTTGTCTCTCAGTGCGTTTCTCTGCTCTTCCGTTGCATTTTCAGCATCTGTAACATAACCTTCGGTAACAAGTTCAAGAACATCTTGAGTATCGAACAACACATGCATCTGAATCATCTAACCATTCCAGTTCTTGCCATCGAACATTGGAAGCTTGGTACTCAGATTGTTGTTTTTGTTCATCTTCAACCTTGTACAGAACACTCAGATCTCATAAACACAGTGTTTTCCAATCCCACAAAATTATAAAAAAATGTGATGCTGTTCAGATTTTATTCAACGATTCAACACGAGCCTTGAACTAAAATTAATCACACAAATGCCTCGTCGTTTCACTTGTGTTTCTCGTGATCCAGCTGGGGCTCTAGATACCAATTGTTAGTATACAAGGTTAATAAATGAAGAAAAAGTCAGAGAGAATATATTTACTGCATTGACGGTTATAGAGCTTACAAAAGAAATTATTGGAAGGTTACAAATGACAGCTACCACTAGTTTATTTATATACAAAGTAAATTACCACGTAGACTCTAACAAAAGATAAACTTAATGACTAAGTTAAAAGGTACAAACTAGAAAATATTAAACTTAACAACTACACTTACAAACTAAGCTCCAGAGTCCAGAAGCTAAGCGTACTTCTGGGCGTAACCTCAAAAACATCTGCTTCCGATTAATAACAACTTTTGGTTACATCGAACTATTTCTTCTAACTAAGCAGTCTCAAAAGCTTACAACTTCTGTCTAACAACCTCAAAAGCTCAACTGCTTCTGAACAACAACATCTTCTAAATATAAATTACTTCTAACACTTTCTACTAGAATATATAAATAATAATAAATTTTTTGTTGTTTTTATTTAAAAGAGTGGATAAACTCCAAGCATTTACATTGTAAAATCAACAAAAATCATCATGCAAAAGATAAAAAATAGTAGTATTATTTGATGTATATGAGCATTAAACTTTATATTACAACATATATTTCATTAAACGATAATATAGATTATGCACCAGATCTATAGAACGGGTGAATAGACTTATGAATTAATGTTTTTTTTTTTGAAAAAACAAAGTTTGATGTATAAAGAGGTTATGCTTATTTATTGGAATTTGCATTAAACGACTTAAATGGTACATAAAAAATCAATATTGAAACACAAAATTTACCAAAATATAAAAATTACACAACATGTATATTTGTACAATATCAACACTAAGTGAATTCCACAATTATAAATTTCAACTTAGGATAGTGAATATAAACAAATTGACATTCCTAATTTTTATCAAATATTTCACTTTTATATTATTTGGAAATTTGGTTCATCATCAACTCTGGTTGAGAAAACGTGATATTAGATGTTTTGAAATATATATATTTGTTGTTGAAAATTTTCAAACAAGCTTCAGTGGCCGAATGGGAAGGGATTCTCCCTAGACCATAATGTTGAAAGGGAGACTAAAATGCAGGAAAAAAAGAAATTAATTTAAGGATAGAAAATCTAGATTTTAAAATAAATGAATCAAAACTCAAAAAAATAAAAACGGAGAGACGAGAATTGCAATTAATTCAATATTATTTAGAAATATATTTTGTAAAAATATTTGGAAGTTGATTGGATGAAGTTACAAATTCAACTACACATTCACCTTTTTCAACAAGATTTCTAATAAAGTTGTGTCTAACTTCAATGTGTTTAGTCCGAGAGTAAAATATTGGGTTTTTTGCGAGGTTTATGGCACTAGTGTTGTCCCATATAGTTAGGACAACTCCAAGATTGACACCGTAGTCACTGAGCTATTTTTCATCCAAATAGTTTGAGTTCAACAACTACCTGCAACAATAGATTCTTCCTCAAATTTGGATATCACGACACTTTCGTGTTTCGTGCTATGCCATGAGACAAATGAGTTTGCAAGTAAGTGACAGGTATCGTTGACACTTTTCCTATCCAATCTGCATCGAGTGTAATTGGAGTCGTAATACCCAACTACTTCAAAATCCGCTCCATAGGGGTACCATAAACCCCTCAATAGATATCTCATAATGCGTTTGATCATGTTGAGATGTGATTCTTTAGAGAATTCTTGAAAGCATGCACACATACAGACAACAAACATTATATCAAGACGTGATGCATCTAGATAGAGAAAAGAGCCTATCATACCTCTATACTTACTTTGTTTCTACTGATTTTCCATCTTCGTCCTTGTATAGATTGCATGATGTTGACATTGTTGTTCCTATTATATTGGACTTCATAGTTCTTTATAATATTTAGTTTTATTGGTGAAGGTTCCTTCTTTGTTTTGATGGTTTTGAAGTCTTAGGAAGTATTTGAGCTCCCCCATCATTGACATTTTGACTTTATTCTGGTTAACTTAAAAAAATTCTTTGCACAACAAATTGTTAGTAGTACTGAAGATACTATCGTTAACATAAATTTGAAACAATAAGATGTCATTCTCGATTTTCTTGATGAAAAGATTTTTATCAACTCATCGGAATATGTTTTCAAGAAAGAATTTACTTAAGCGGTCATACCATGCTCTAGGAGCTTGTTTTAGCCTATATAGTGCCTTCTTAATTTTGAAAACATGATCAAGAACAGTTTGGTTGATGAAACCTGAAGTTTGATCAACAAATACCTCCTCTTGGATGTAACCATTTAGAAAAACAAATTTTACATCCATTTGAAATAATTTGAAATTCATGATGCAAGAGAAAGCTAATGACATCTTTATGGATTTTAGTCTGGCTATAGGAGCATATGTTTCACCGAAATATACTCCTTTATGTTGATTGTGTCTTTTGGCAATGAGTCTGCCTTATCCTCCCTATTGTTAAGGATAAAGTATTTGCACCTGAAGACGTGTAAGTGAGAGATATTCA